TGAGAAACAATAATCCCTTAAATTAAGGATAAATCACAAGAAAATCAAAACTTTATAAAAAGAGCGAGGTTATAGTTACTACTTCTTTTTCTTACTACATGTTAATGTCAAATCTTATCTATTGATTTTTGCCAATCTAATGGTTATAATTATTGAAAATTAATAATTAATTAATAAATATGATTCAATAAATTATAACCATTAAATTGACGGAAATCAACGGTTAATATTTAGTAGTAAGAAAAAGAGATAGTAACTATAACCTCGCCCATTATTTAAAATACAAAATAAACCAATCCAAACATATATTCGATCCTTATTGTGTTTAAACTAAACAATATGCATGATGTATATAATTGGTTTATGATATCTTAAATTACAGTTTTCCACTAAAAATAATTGGTTTGTGATGTGCATTGCGCCTGATGCTTATCTTATCCGCTAGCCAACCTAGAAATAATTTTACAGATGAATCCGCCATTATTGACGCTATAATCATTTTTGGCAAGAAACTATATGCAAGTGTGTTGTGGTTGGTCGTGCATCCCATCACCATGGAGGGTGTGTTTGGTACAAGAGAAATTTTTTGGTGACCGGGAATCATGATTAATGGGAATCCAGTAGAAATTGAGTTTACTTGGAATCTTACGAAAGAGGTGTTTGGTTCGCCAAAATATTACCGAGAATATTGGGTAAAAATTACTGATTCCATATTTGGTTTAGAACGAAATATGACTTGGAATATGAGGTTATTTTACAAAAATAACCCCAAACTATTTTTACTTTTGTAATTGATAGATTGAGTCTAGATTTTTATGTGTATTGGGGTATTTTTATCTCAAAATTTATTGTTGTGTTTTTCCTTTACTTGGTATTCTGATTGGTATTCCGAATTACCATATTATCTTTGGTAATCTGAATAGTGACTTTTCTTTATAAATCAAATTACCGGTAATCTTTGGATATCCGGGAATCGTAATTTATTCCTTCTACCAAACATGGTAATTACATTTACCAAAGAAGAATTATTGGTAATCCTCCTCAAAAACTTGAAACAAACACCCCGGAAGGTTTAAACGATACCTCATAAGTAAGATCTTCCCTTACGACGTCTCCGGCTTAGTCCTTCATGGTTTATTTAGAATTTTAGATGAAGGACCAAGGGGACAAAAAGGCTTTTGATTAATTTTTTTTTTTTTTTTTTTTTTTTTGAGATAGAAAATTCTCTGTTTTTAAAGTCTTGTAGAAGGGGCGGAATGGAATGAGTATATTTTATAAACCTTCTGAAATTTTCTTATAAATATTTTTTGAATTATTCTAAGTTAGAGAATATTAAAAGAATAATAAATTAATTTGTTTATTTACACTTATTCAAATTCTAAGAAATATATTTTAAGAGAAAAGTGTTTGTTATTTTAAATGACATAAAGTTATGTCATTTTAAGAGAGAGATAGATCTAAAATAATATTTTTTTATTTAAAATTTAAATTATAAAAAAATCACTCACTTTCTCTCTCATGATTTTTATTTCATGTGTCTATCTCTCTCCTAAAATGACATAGCTTATGTCATTTAAAATAACAAATATCAAATCCATATTTTAATTATACTTCCAAGTTTTCAGAAAGAATATTTGAAAGAAGTTCTTCTTTTGATTTATTTTTTTTAAAAAAAAATATGAAAGAAAAAGTATATGACATTATTTTTCATTTTATTTTGGTATGCACATTATTTTTCTTTTAAAAAAATTTAAAATTGTAAATCCACGATATAACTAATTAATTTAATTTTAATAACCTCTTGTTTTCTTTTATTTGAGAATTTATAATATCTAAGCAATTTTTTTTTTTGTAGGTTACAAGGAATAGAACACACAACCACACACTCACACACACCCTATTACACGCTCCCACACTACTAGGCTAACCCTAGTGGATTATCTAAGCAATTTTTTTAGTCTTCCTTTTCCATTAAAACCTTTTTATTTGATTTTATCAATTACGACTTCAGTTAATTAGGGATAAAAAGTGAGATTTAATTCTTTGTTTCATAATGTTCTTTTTATTTTCTCCTCACTTCAAATACACCCTTAACAATCATGGCGAAGGAATTATTAAAAGCATATCATTAAAGAAAGATCACTGGAATGATTAAAGAGTTTTATGTTTGTTATGTTACATAACATAACTCTATTTTCCTACACACATCCATCAAAGAGGTGGAGCCACATATTTTTCTCTCTCTTTCATTATTTCACTCTCTCTCTCTTATTATGTGTGTAAGAAAATAGAATTATGTTCTATAACATAAAAAACATAAAGCTCATAATTAAAATTGAGAAAGAGTCAAAGATACCCCGTTGGTCCCACAAGGAAGCCAGTCATGAATCATGATGCTTGGTAGTAATAGCTCAAGAAATTGTCTTGCCTATTTCAAATGGAATGATCCTGATTCATATGAAACACGTAAACTATGGATAAAGCTATGCGTTTATTCTCGTACATCATTTCATATCAGTTATCACTTCCGATTGATTAAATACATAACTTATGTAATAAACAATTTATTTATAAGTAATAAAAAAATTTGTTGCAGAACTTGTGGTTAAGTAATTAAATAAATAATAAGTAAAACAATTCCAAATCCTTCTCATGATATTTCGTAAGACAATCTACCAATACTAAAATGAACAATCTACCAATACTAAAATGAAGCAACTGTACGTATTAATGTTTTGTTGAATTTTTTTTTTCATTTTTTTATAGTTGTTTATCTCTCTCTCTTTTCTTGGGTAAACAAAAGGGGCTACAAGCGCTAGGAAAGAAAAGAAAAGAAATAATTAATCCTATTCGAGGAGAGACACAATACGATCCTTACCTACTGATGTAAGATCACCCAAATATAGCAAATGAATATCACTTGGGATCATAAAAAAACTCTGATCAGCGTCCTCAGAAGAATCTAACATGAAATGTTATTGAAGACAGTGGGTGATGTTATATCACGAATAGATTTGAACTCATGTATTAAGCAGAGGAGGTAGATAATCAGAATTATCACTGTGCAATTATAAATATAAAATACAGACTTACTTGATACGTATGAAGTAGACAGAATCAGAATGATGTGACAGACAGAATGATATGTCAGAAGAGAAATTAAAATTCGAGCCCACAGAACGTGTCTTCTTAAGACAATTTGCCCCCTCACTGATGCCCAAGGTTGATGGACACTTGTCTCCCAGGATAGAACGAATTCCGTCTGAAGAGTGGCGGCATTACCAGTCAACAGCCCAAACGAACACAACAATATGCCAGAGGAAATCACACCAGAGTATGAACAGGAATATGCAAAACCAAAAGGAGAAAAATTCCGGCAGAGTTTCAATGCAGAAAATCGGATAAATTTCTAAAGGTGTCGGTGTCTATTTATAGACATCGACCAGTCACGATGAACAGTCGTCGACGGCGAACCGCCGTGTCTGACGACGGCGAACCGCCGTGTCTGACGACGGCAAACGGTGACCGTTTCGACGAACAGGTACAACCGACACAACCGGTGACTGGTTCGCGAAAGGGAAGAACCGGTTCGGTTCAACATTGCTCAAAAAACCGGCGGGTAGAAACGTTTGGGTTGGAGGGAAGCAACAGATACTTTTTTGGACAAAATATTAAAAAAATTATTTTTATTACACACTAAAACATATGATCTGATCCGGGCCGGCCGGACGGCGGCGCGCGTGGTGGACCAAAGCCCACCTAGCTCCTCCCCCTACATAAAATATGTAGTGACCCAAGGGTCAAACTAGGAGAGTGAGGTGGGAGCTTATATACTCTCCCACTTTCTACTAATTGTCCAATGTGGGACTTGTTAAACCCACACACCTCTTCATCTTCCCTCTTCTCTTTTCTTTATTAACCCAGTTCTTATTCATAACCAATGGATCATTATACATTAATTCTTTCATTAATTCCAACATGAAATTGATCAACCAATCAGCACACATATTTTCTCCTTTGAGAGTTTATTGAAGATGAACGCGTCAGTCTCTATGCAACCATGTTCGATTGAGACAGAATCACTAGGGCTCACCAAATATGGTGAAGGTACAGGTGAGATGCAATTGTTCTCTCGTATTTGTTTATCTCTTTACTAATGACTCGTCCGTCACTTTCATAATACAATTTTTTATGACACAATTTGTGTACAATACCACGTATCTATAATTACATTGTTCGCTAAAGAAGCTTTTAATAAGTTCTCTTATATCTTTCAAAAAATTTTAGGGAAAAGTTCACCAATATTCTTGTGATTTGCTTCAGAATCACCTATGTCCTCGTGGTTTTTTGTTTATCACATATGTCCCTGTAATTTATAAAAAAATCACAGAGGCATATATGATAAAAAATATATCATTTTGCAAATCACAGGGGCATATATAATAAAAGAAAACCACAGAGACATAGATGATTATGGAGTAAACCACATGGGTATTGGTGAACTTTTCCATTTTTAAAATTTTTTTGTTAAGGAATATCATAAGAATTGAGATTATGGTTAAAAAAAATTAATTTGAAAATAAAGTGTTTTACGTATATTAAAAACTCTAAAAATACTTTTTCAGTTTAAGCATATACTAAAATTTAAGGAAACAAGTATAATATTTTAAATAAAAAAGAAAATATTTATAAAAAATTTAATTCTCACTATTTTAATAATTAAAAATAATTTAATAAAAGTTACTAAAAGCTCCATGAACAATGTTTTCACGACACACCGGAGCAAAATCGTTATTATAATAATTTTTATTTTGTTTATTGTCTCTTCTATTAGTATCTTTAAAAAGGACAAATCTTGATACATAGTAGTAAACTTTGTTTTATTTAAACAAAGTTTAAATAAATTAAATGATTCCAAGTCTTTTTTTTTTAAATTATTTTGGCACCAACTTCATTACACAACAATTACAAACCAATAAGAAACTATTTTATGAACTTGCACATTGATTTGTTTGCACAAACTCAAAAACTTTTATAATCATCCTAACAAAGTTTTGAACAAGTTGTCTGACAAATAATCTATCATCTTAAGATATGCATTTGGTGCACCATACTTAAAATAATAATTACCTTTACATCAACAAACAAAGCATAGACACATAATCTTACAAATGCTAAGATAACACAAAACAGGACAACCCCGAGAAGTTCCCCCATTATTCATAACACTAACGGGAACCCTACAACGGTAATTGAACTAGTGAAATCCACCGCCAGAGACCAAGAGGAACTCGATGCCAAATAACAGAGAAAGCCTCGGATCAATGCAGGAACATGCCTATCGGCTGTGTCTGGCGAGAAATGTGCCACGGTTTGAGGAGAGGATCTGGTATCGCAGGGATTTCGACAGAGAATCCGCTGACTTCTTCAGCGATTTCAAGGATGGAGTTAAGAAAGCGCAATCGATCGGCCAATTCCATAGTCTGAGCCCTCAGGATGCTGTTAGCGGCTTCGATCTCAATGAATGCTTCTTCGTTGGTCTTTATGCTCTCCACCAGCTTCTTGTTCTCACCTTGCAATCTGCTGACGTCATCAGCCAGATCCTCCATCTGCTTCTGCTTCCTCATCCGCGATCGCCTCGCGGATTCACGGTTCGACAGCATCCTCTTCCTTTTCCTCTCATCGATTTGCGGATCTCCCCCTTCGGATCCAGAACTCGACAGACGTTGAATTGAAGCCATTTCCCTTGTTTAACTCGAAGGCGATTCGATTTGCGAGCAGAATATAAATATAACAGAAATAAAATAATGGAAACAGAATTCGCAGATCTAATTATTAAGAAACAATATAAAGAACAAAGGATGAACTACGAGGAGATCAAGGAATTGAGAGGAAGTTCATGAGAAAACGTAGAACCAGTACAGAAACACCACTGAGAAGGAGTGCAGCAGACGAATTCGACGCATGGTCATATAAATTCGGAAAACATTGGTGTGTTTTGCTAAAGCCCTATGCTCTCATCCTAAAACTCAAATCCAATCGGTTCGTAATAAAGGGACTAGGAAACCCTAGATCTGAAGAAGCAGATCTGATTGTAATTAATTTGTAAGAGACACAATTTTGTCAAGACTCAAAATAAGGAGCGATTAAAGAAGAAAGAAAGGAAACAATCTTAGCTGGGCGGAGAGGTTGATCGACGAAAATGGGAAGAAAAGAAAAAAGGTGCATAAAAAAAGGGATATGGCAAAGAAGGTGAGAAATAAAGGGGGAGGTTAGGTTTTATAGAAAGGGAAAGAGGAATCAAAACGCGAGTAGGTACTGCTGTAAGGGATTGATTATTAAAAGGGGGTTATTTCAATCAATGCTGATTTCGAGGGTTCCAAATAACTACGTCATTGCTGGCGTAAGCAATGGCTACAACCTTGTTCCTCCACAAATCTAATTCAACTGCTTTTACCTTTTCTTCCTCGCGGTTGCTTGAAAAATGAAAAGTAAACCAGATTTACAGACGGAATAATATAGAATCAAATGATGTTTTTACCCATGTGATTTGACGTGGATCATTTAATTTCTAATATTGTGATTAAATAAAAGGTTTTATATATATCATGTTGTAGGAAACTTGCAACATCATATCACTCTCACAAAGAGTATGGTCCCACCTTTTTTTTTTTTCTTTTTAAGTGAGACCCGCATGAAATGTATTAGAGTAACGTGACACTACAAGTTTTAGGACATATATAAAACCCTTAAATAAATTTATCATTTAATTTCAAACATTTACTTATACTGATTGTAATAATAAAAATATATTACTTAGACCTAGATGGTTTTATAAATATAAAATTCCTTAATTTTTTTAACTTTTATTTTATATAATTGTGATATTATCAAATAAACTTGTAATAAAATTAATTATTAATAAATAAATTCATAAATATTTAAATTTATTTATTTTGAAATTATTTTAAAAAAAATTAAATTTTTTTGGTGGGGATCTTAAATTTTTTAATTATATAAAAATATATTTAACATTAAGAATATTATTCAAGATAAATTAAAGACATGTTAGTTTTTTACCCAAAAAGAAAGTATTAATTATATAATTTATTTATTTTAAATTTTTTAAAAATATTATAACAATATCAAATAAAATAAATAAATAAAATAATATGAGACTTAAATTTATTTTTATGATAAAAATATAAGAACACAATATTAAATGCATATCATTTAATTTAATGAATTTATCAAATAAAATAAATTATTTATCGTCATCATGAATCAAATGTCTATATGATATATTTAAATAAATATTATATATATGTGTGTGCGCGTGCGTGCATGTGTCTGTAAAAGCTTATAAGGAATTTAAGTGATGCATTTTTATAATCATAATAGATATATTTAATACTTACTAGGGGTTAAATAATTATTTTTGTAATCATAATAAATCTAAGTGATAAATGAAACATATAACATATGCGATGAAACTGAAGTTATCCCCCTAAAATGAAATTGTAACGTGAATGTCACTTTTCACAAGACTAATATACGGCTTTTGTTATTCTGGGAACAATATGTCAAGTAATAAAACCTCATTAATACTACCCAATTATTAATATTAAATATATTTTTTTGGAAAATTTATTAATATTAAATATTTAATACAAAGGCACAAAGCCATCATCTAAAATAAAGATAAATGGCATAGGTTTAAAGATAAATTATTCCTTTTATCCTTATAAGTTATAATTTCACTCTCAAATTAGTTAAAATAAAGGATAACTCCAAGATTAATTTAATTTATATAGTTTAAAACCGTTTAAATAAGTTTAATTTTTTTCCTAATTAAAACGATTTCCTATTCAAAGCGAAAGTATAATGAATGATAGCCTGTTTCATATACAATTTATATTAAAAGAATTAATTGTATTTGATAATAATATTTGAAAAATATAATTATAGGTATGCTTTAAGACTTTGCATGAATTTTATACCTAAAATTAATTTCATTCATCACATAAATAAAAAATTATATTTCTTTCAAGTTCGATTCCACTACACAAAGATGAATGAAAAATGAATTTGCTGAAACTACCCAAAAAATCTCCGGATACAATTATAATTGATTTTGGACACTTCAAAATCTAAAACAAACAAGAACTAAACAGTGACTATATTGCATTACTTAAATATTATATACACTGTTTTGAAAGATTTTAAATTGTATGAACGAATTTGAATTTGAAGTCGAATTATCAGTCCAGATTAGTTATTTTACCTGATTTATAACTATCATGAACTTTTTGTTTTATGGAAATTGATAGGGTAAAGTATAAGTCGAACACTATTAATTTTTGGGGGTTATAGGAAGGTGTATAGGATTGGAGGAGGAGCATGAAAAATGAAAATGTGAGGGATCAAACCCTCATCATACAACATAATTTTCTCATAAATGAGACAAAAGTTGGAGTTACGCTCATTATTTAATCAAATATATTTCGAAAAATTCTTAAAAAAATTAAGAAAATTAAAAAACACCTCTGTGAAAGGTGTAAATATTTAGGTACAAGAAACGAAACATCTAACATCAACTTCATACTCGTATCTTGAAGAAGTGGGTTGATGATAATTAAGTGACTAGTTCCTTTGAGACAAAAAATGACCTTTTAATTACATAAGCTAGAGGAATAATTGATTAATTGACAAAGACAACAAATATTGCAACATTGTTCCTTGTGTTACAAAGTTGAAACATTTTCTGCTCTCTCTTATGTCACAACAACATGGAGCAGTTGCAAAGTAGGCTAGGAAAAACTTGAGTGCAACGACAAATAAGACATCTCATTCGCCACATTCCCTTGTTAATTTCACAGATTGGAGGAGAACTCATTCAGTAGAAAAACGAAAAACAATGGATGTCGATGAAGCACCATTAGACGAAAAAGCAAAGAGAATGAGAGATCTGTTATCCAGTTTCTACTCTCCAAACCCTTCAATGTCCTCCAACCACGGTAACAGCTTTTCCCAATACGCCTCCATCGATGACATCAACTCTATCTCCTTCGAACCTGATCAGTACATGAATATATTGGTAATTCTCGTTTTCTGTATTTATTTATTTTTCGAGATTGAATATGATGGCATTGTCGCTTACGGTGAAAAAATGAGTCTATCACAATTTGTTTATATTGAAACAATTACTTATGAAGGCACATAAGTCGAATTTGGAAGGGCTACTTCAGAGGCATGTTGAAATGGTAGCTGAAATAAAGAATCTCGACACTGATTTGCAAATGCTTGTCTATGAGAATTATAACAAGTTCATCTGCGCTACAGATGCTATAAAGAGGTATAGTTTTATTATAATTTTCCCCTGTTGTGATCTTTGGCCACGTCGCATGCAATTTCTATTTCATTATTTGTTACACTATGTAGTGAAAATTTGGTCTAGTTCTTTTCAGACATTCGTTTTGTGATATGCTCTTAATGTCCGTTCTATTTTGAGAGTGGTGTAATCAAATCCTTAATTTGAGAAAAGAATGACAAAAATTTGTTTTTCAAACAGGATGAAAGGTAATATGTTGGGGATGGAGGAAAATATGGAACAGCTTCTTGAGAAGGTAAGCATTTATTAATTTATTCAATCCGTCTTGAGACTTGTTTTCACTCCAGGAACTTTAAGAAAAAGAAGAGAAAGAAAAAGAAAAAGATCAGAGTTCATGAGGAATCCACTTTTTCCCCCAATGCAGATAATGTCTGTACAGTCAAGAAGTGACACTGTTAACACTTCTTTATTTGAAAAAAGGGAGCATATAGAGAAATTACATCGGACATGCAATCTTCTTCGTAAAATTCAGGTACTAAAGCAATGATACATGTTTTCCAGTTATATATGCATGATTGTTCTCTGCAATATTTATATTTTTGGATGTCATTCAGTGGTACAAAATGCCAGTTCTTTGCTAAATGCTGTTAACAGTTAAATAATTGCTTGTCCAAGTTTTTGATAGAATTCATTTATATTTTTTTGCTGCTCCTGATGATTTTAACTCTTGTGCATGAGCAGTTCATATATGATCTACCTGACAGACTACGCAAGTGCATCAAATCTGAGGCCTATGCAGATGCAGTCAGGTTCTACACTGGTGCAACACCACTTTTTAAGGTTGTGTTTGGCTGACATTATTACTAATTCAACTCTCTTGGCTACTTTTACATTTGCCCCCCCCCCCCCCCCCTGCGGGCGCACACATATTTACATGTAATGCAATAAATTTAAGATGGGATATCTTTCTTTGTTTTTCTCCTCTTTGTCAGGCATATGGAGACTCATCATTCCAGGATTGTAAGCAAGCATCTGAAGAAGCAATAGCTATCATAGCAAAAAACTTGCAGGTATATTTCTTTCGCGTTTTATGCTTTCCATCATCTTATAGCTTGATATGAGGTCCTTTTTAGATAGCTATATCCTGTCTTATTCGTATATAGAATTTATGATAAAATTGGATAAGATTAGCTTGTTCTATCCATCTTTTCTAATCCAGTTTTCTAAGCATGGTCTAAAAGTTTATGGAATACAGTGAACTTGAAGTCTCTAATATTTTGCCAAAAAAATAATCGATTGTCATTTTGTTTTTGAGAAGCTTGTCTTCATAATTTGACATTTTTTTTCTCTAACCAGGGAAAGCTATTTTCAGATTCTGAATCAATACAAGTTAGAGTTGAGGCTGCAGTGCTGCTTAAGCAGTTGAATTTTCCGGTTCGTACTGATTCTCTTTTACTTGAAACGGCATTGTACTAACTGTTGAGAGCTGAGACATGATGGGCTTTTATAAGCCATTAATTATTTTCTGAATATCTGCAGTAAATGGTGAAAAAGATATTTTTTATGTAAATCCTTTTCTTTTCTTTTTCATTTCATGAGAGTTATAGGGATTGACCATGTCTCAATCTCTCTCCTGCGGTCTTTGTTCATGGAGAGAAATAACACTATGTTATATTTGATGTTATTAGTAAAGGACATTTATTGGCAGGTGGACAATTTAAAGGCAAAGCTACTAGAGAAGTTGGAACATTCCCTTACAGACATTCAGTTGATCCCTGAAGTAATAGAAAATGCTTCACTCTCTGCCCATGAGGTAAGTAGTGTTAGACAACTATCCTTTTGTTTAATGCCCTTTCCCCCAGAAGCATATATATGCTTTTATTTACTATCCTAACTTTGCTTACTTGGGATTTTGTTCAAGTGTTACATTGTGTGTCTGGCTCTGATATATAACTCTTGCTCATAGGTCCTCTCTTTCGTCAATAAAAGGCCTATTAAATAGCTATAACCTATAGGGCCACCCATCCCTTTGGTGACAAACAACATCAAAATCATGTATCTTAGAACAACATATCTGGTTAGATATATATATGCTTTTGTGAAGCAATAAGCGATGCCGATTAGGACAAATGTGAGATAGCTATGTTGGGTAATACATTCTCGTGGAATATAGTGTCATATTATCTGAGAAGACGTGTTTAAAGGCTTTTTAACCCTTTTGCCCCTTATTAATTAATTAATAACCATTTTGCCCCTGATTCGAAACTATCTACCAATCTGCCCCTCTTCAATTGACTACCTTACATTTTTAATCGACTAAACGGTTGTTGGGAGATTTAATCGACTAAATCTCCCTACTTAATCGATTAAAATCATACTGACTTATTTTTTTTTTGTCAAATATGAAGATTTAGTCGACTAAATAGGGAGATTTAGTCGACTAAATCTCCCAGCAGCCATTTTTTGTCTGTTTTGGCCATTTAGTCGATTAAAAATGCAAGGTAGTCGACTAAAGAGGGGCAGATTGATAAATAGTTTCGAATCAGGGGCAAAATGGTTATTAATTAATTAATAAGGGGCAAAAGGGTGAAAAAACCCGTGTTTAAATGTGGCATAAAACTGTTGCAGATTCATGTGACAGAAAAGGATATGAATGGCAAGAAAGGATTAAGTTTTTTTTTGGTACATAAAGGATTAAGTTAATTGTTAGAGTTATAATTTAAAACCATTGATGGGCCATCACTTATAAGCTTAAGCTTAAACTTTTGGGTTGAATTGGTTGCTCATGTATTATAAAATGAATGTTCCAATTTATAGAGTCATCCCTCCATTTAGTGAGATAAGGCTTGGTCATTATACTGTTTCGGTTCGATCAATTTTTTATTTTAATCTTGGTTACTTTTGGTTTTACATATATGACATATCTTCTTTGATAGTTATGGTTATGAGACTGATGAATTGAGCATGTGTTACTGTTCTATTTCTCAACGTAGGCAGCCATTGGTGAGTTTGTGGAGGCAATTCGTGCGTTTCGAGTAATATTTCCTGATTCAGAAAAGCAATTAGTCAAACTTGCTCAAGACTTAGTTACCAAGTTAGTATCTATTGTTACAACGCAAAGTATTGTTAAATTTATTACGGTACAGAAGTTTTCACTATATACAAATCAACTTTTTAATTGTTTTCTAGGGACTTTCTAATTATCGAGGAGTACGTAAAGACACGAATTTGTGCGGCAGATCTACTTGGTGTTCTTCGTAAGTAGGATGACTCTGCTAGTACTTCACTCTTTTAGTTCTGTTAATTTAATTTCTTAAATTAGCTGAATGAACTTGTTTTGTTTTGTTTTTTAATTTCATGGTAGTTTTTCATATAACCTTCAAACAAATCTATTATGATTCTTATAGGCATGATTTATGTAACTGTTTTTGGTCTTCATGATTGTATGCAATGTGTTTCTTCCCTTCTAAGTAATGATTGTAAACCCCAAGGGGTGGCACATTACCAGCAGGCTGTGCCCAAAGTAAGATCACTGGTTCGATCCCTAGGCCAAGTACTTTGGGGCTAGTTCACGCTCTAAGTCACGAAGGGAAGTCTCATCCAAATGGGTGGAGACACCATGGGAAACCAAAAAAAAAAGCAATGATTATATGCACCTATTTGGTTTTGTTGTCTTCCTGGAAGTCTTTTACTAAAATGCAGTATATGTCTAATCTTATATCTTGGATAATGTATTAGACTGTAAGGAAAAGCTCGTCATCATCTCCCTTTATTGCAGCTATATATATTCTAACAGACGTTGTGCTATATCAAATTAATTACAAGAAGTAATATAATGCATTTCAATCACTATATAAATGTGTTCCCAAGAAATATTTTTCAAAATTAAATGTCAACACATATACAATTGCTTTTGGATCTGATTTTGGTTTCTTCAAATGTATAATTACACTTAACCTGGGCACAGGAGTTGTCTGGAATGATGTGCTCCGAATGGATGAAGTCTTACAGGAAGCATCTCTTCCTAATCATTCTCTTGAGGTCATCCATCAAAGTCATTGGCTCCAATTTGATTTTGATCTATAGATGTAGCTTTTCAAGCCATCATTCTCTTTTTCTCCTCACAATAAACCCTAATGAAAGTTCATGTTTAAAAATAGATTTCATCAATTAAAACTAAATATTTCCAGGCTGCCAAGGTTGCTGTCAAGCTGTATGTTCGAAATGCATTCTCTCATCTAATGCAAGATATCTCAGGTTAGTTTTATGTCTTCGTAGAAAGCTTCTGATTTTTAATTTAAGCATAAAAGTTTGTAATATTTACCTTCTCATACTTTTAGGAGAACAAAGACAAAATTCTTTGACTGCTGGATTTAGCCAATATGACATCTTGTTCGTGAAAATGATCAAAATCACAAAACGGAAAACATTACATTGTCAAGGATTCTAGTCTTATAGATTTAGCTTGATGTTTAATATATTTATATTCACCTATTACGAGCTAGCTACAAAAATAGTTAACAGACAGTTGTCTTAATAACTGTGCTCTGAAATAGTTTCCGTTTGGTAGATTCCCTCTTGAAAGTACTGAAACGGGATGGAGCAGAGGAGCGCTCGCTGGAAGTTGCTTTAGATGCTAGCATAAAAGCAGTTCTCCAAGGAGGCAGGAACTTTTTGCTGGTAACCACTTTTGTGTACATAGACTCAATAGATATCAGATTATAGTTAAGAATGTATATGCATAAAATGTCACTGTTAAAAATTTCCTATTATTTATACTTTATGTTGTTTCATGTAGGTCTAATCTCTCTCTCTCTCTCTCTATGGATCATTTCAGGATGTTCGCAAAATTCTAGATGACAACTTAGAGATCCTAGATAAACTAAGAGAGTTAATAATTGACAGGGTTCAAGAAGGATTTCAAGATTTTTTTAGGCAACTTGAGGTTCAGTTCCTATTGCTTTCAGGAAGAAACAATTATTCAACTAATCAATATCATGGTTTGACAGAGGGGGCTCAAGGTGACAAAGCTTTTCCTAGCCTTGTCCTAGTGTTGGCACAACTGTCTACTTTTATCGAACAAACTGCCATCCCAAAACTCGCCGAGGCAAGGATCCACTTGACTAACTTATATTTGATTCCTTAGAACGAATCGATATTTTGGTTCATTTTCATTTAATGCCTAGGGCATACCTTAAAAATTGCATTGTAATGTTTAGGAATTAGCAGCTTCCTTTTCTGGTGGTAGTTTTAGAGGTTATGAATATGGATTTGCCTTTGTTCCTGGAGAGATCTCTAAAAAATTCAGGTCAACTGGAGACAAGTTCTTGCAACTGGTATGTTTTCAAGTTCATAATTTATTTTCAATAGATGTACAATTTGTGGGAGCCACTGTGTCACTGTGTGTATTTTATCCTTGTCTTTATTTCTCTCACTTCCTGGTTGGTATTCGTCTTTTCCTTAGGTAACATATCTAGTTATATACAAGCCTTCTCGCTGTCTTGAAGCTTGGTTTTAACAATTTTTTCCCAGAAAAAATCTCTTTTTCAAAGGAAAAGAGGATTTTCAATATGGATAGCCATATGTCTTTGGGCCTTATAGCAGTGTCAGTTTGTATGTGAAGTACAATCTCACTAGAATAGCATAGTTGTGTCAGTATTTCACTGTGTGTTTTCTACTCTCTTTGATGAAGTAACTAGTTTAGTTGCCTGTTTATTCTTACACTCCAGCAAGCAGTTTTAAGTTTTATCTAGAACAAGTTGTTTGGGGTTTTTGGGAAGATTAGGAGCAGTTACTTGTTGATTATTTTGAGTCTTGGGCATGAATAAGGAGGGCAAGACTCCGGCAGTGTAGAGTTTGTTCTGTTTTTTTGGTGCATTTGTAAGGAGTAAATTGCTTGTATTTCTAATAATATTTTACTTTCGTTTACTTGGGATAGCATAATTAGTGTGTTTTCACTTTGGTGTTCTGCCCATGGTTTCTTTAAGTGACTTCGTGTCCGGTGTGCAAGAGGATTGACTAGCTTGATTGCACTGTTTTTATGTTGTAGCGTTTTTTCTTGAATGCTTGTGTTTTGGAGAATATTTATTCTTAATTTTTACCCGGACCCCTTCTTCCTTTGTTTGATAATGTTTCTACTATCTAAAACCAATCTACAAGTTAAGCAGCATTTTTTTTTTTTTTTTTGATACCAAGTTAAGCAGCATTTACATATTCTTTATTTGATTCTTTTTAGTACATAAATATGAGAACTCAGCGAATATCACTTCTCCTACAGAAGAGGTTTATCACACCTAGTTGGGTTAAGGTCAGTATGTTTATATGCCTTTGTTTAAAAAATAAAATAATAGTGGTTATCTTTGAAAGAGCTGGAATATAAAGTTGTTGCTTTGCTTTTCACAGCATAAGGAGCCAAGAGAAGTTCATATGTTTGTTGATTTATTTCTTCAAGAGGTTGGTATCTTATTTATAAATCAATTGTTCCGTTTTTTTATGTCTTTTAAGTTGCATTGAATTGTTTGAGGATTGTGCTTGAATACTAGTCTTGTTTTACTTTTTTTTCTATCTGGAAATTATGAGCATAAAGCTTATAGATCTCTATTTGATGAGCATGTTTAGTAATATAGAGTTACATTTTGATCTCTCTTATTTGATGTTCCAGCTCAAAGTCATAGGTAATGAAGTGAAGCAGGTTTTGCCTCAAGGTATGCGGAAGCACCGCAGGGCTGAAAGTAATGGAAGTAGTGCTTCATCAAGAAGCAACTCCATCCGGGAGGAGAAATTGACTCGGTCAAGTACTCAAAAGGGAAGGAGCCAGCAACTTTTGGAAACTCATCTAGCGAAACTCTTTAAGCAAAAAGTTGAAATTTTCACAAAAGTGGAATATACACAGGTATTGAATAATTGTCATATTAGTGATGCAAAATTTAAACAATTGGTTGCAAACAAATTTTATCAATCTTTGCTTGCAAACTGCAGGAATCAGTCGTTATGACCATAGTTAAATTGTGCCTTAAAAGTTTACAAGAATTTGTTAGACTCCAGACTTTTAACCGGAGTGGATTCCAGCAAATTCAGTTGGATATTCAATTCTTAAGGACTCCACTAAAGGAAAGAGTTGAAGATGAAGCTGCAATGGACTTATTGCTAGATGAGGTTGGAAAAATAATCTTGCCCTGGGTCTTAACTTTTTCATATTGGTGTGATAGTTTTTCCTATGAAAATATTACCATTATTTTTGGTAATTTTTATACGGTACAGGCATCTCTGGCTTCTTCCATCTTCACTATCTATCTGCTCTGCATTTTATGTATTTTTTTGGGCGCAGGTGATTGTTGCTGCTGCAGACCGATGCCTTGATCCAATTCCATTGGAGCCTCCCATATTAGATAGACTAATACAAGCAAAGGTGGCAAAAACTAAGGAACAAAATACAATCTCTTCATGAACATGTATGGAACTGGAGGCTATGATAATGTTGACCTTTCATATCTACTTCTGAGACCATATTTTCCATTTTTTTTATAATAAATTTAATATTTAATGTCCAAAATACAAGAAAGATTTTAAGAAAAGGATGATTTTGCTGTCAACATGCACTTAATAATTGTTGATTCGAAAAGGTGTCTATCATCTTAAAGGAGGATATAAAGTTGTGTTATTTTAAGTGAGAGAAAAAGATAAATAAAGAAAGAGAGAATGGACAAAAAACATAAAGACGTAGGTCTCATCTCTTTACGAGAGTGAAAGGATATAAGTTATGTTATTTAAAAGGACAAATACTTTTTTCTGGTTGTTTCGTTCGTTATAGTTTTGACAAACAAATATCTTGTAGCACATGCTAGATGGGCCACGTATGTTCCATTTAATACTACATGCCTACATGAAAGTGAAAAGATGCATGAAGTTTTCGGTGCATCTTCCATTTATAATGTAATATGTGTCTTACTTTTATTATAATGTGACATGTATTTTACTTTTATCAAATCATTAATAAATAATTTTATTTAAAATGAAATGAGAGAGTGATTTGATAAAAAAAGTAAGACACGTATTATATTGTGAGTAGAAGATGCATAGAGAACTCAGTATATCCGTAACACCCGAAGATATTTTCTATGAAAGTATTGAATAGCAAGAAAATTCTACCTAATCATGACTTGACAACTTAGTTTGGTAGTGTTCGATGGCTCTTCATGAATTGTGACGGAGGACGTTCGTGTTTAAAAATATAAAACGCGTTAAGATAAAAATTAAGATAAAAATAGCCAGATACTAATAAATTCATTTATAATTGTGCTAGCCTGAATATTTAAAGTTTGTTTGGCATATTTTTTTAAGTTAAAAGTCATTTTTAAGTTAAAGTAAAAAAAAAGTTAAAAATTAATTTAGTAATTATATAAAGTTGTTCTAATTGTTTTAAATAAAGAAAGATGAAATAATTTATTATAACGATGAATTATTAAGATAAATAATACAATTTATAAATACAAATTTAGAATAAAAATAAAACTATAAAATAAATATAAGAATCTAAAAATTTGACATAAATTTAATAAGAAAAATCATAGGAGCTTTTAATTTTTAGGGTTTTTTTTCATTATATAAAAAAAACTCTTTATAATAAATTTTTTTATAAAATTATGTTGTTTGATTAAATTTTTGTAAAGCAAAAATTAAGTTAAAAATAAGATATGTCGAACAGCACTTAATCTAGTATTTATTTATTTATTTTTTTGCAAAGCACACTAATCAGTTTGACAATCCCCTAATTCCCTAAATGCACTCTTCAAGGAAGGTCCTTTTGAGAAAATTACACCGAGCTCTAAAGAATAAACATCTCATACGAGATAAAATTACCTAAACCAAATTCTTTAGAGATTTTGGGAAAATATATAGGATATTTTTTGAAAATTTATATTATAAAAATGGGTTTGTTTTTTCTGATGTTACTTTAGATAACTTTATCTAATGTTCATCAAAACGACGTCTTTTTGGGACAAAAATCATGGTATTTTTGTAATTTTAATTTATTTCAGGATTATAATAGTCTTTTTCACTTTAATTTTTTAATTTTTTAACCCCAAAACGATATCGTTTCGATGAATATTAGATGAAGTTATCTAAAATAACATCATAAATTTTTTTCCCTATAAAAATTTCTCAAAATGTCCTCTGTTTTTATCTCAAATTTTAGATGGGTGTTATTTTGAAATTGTATAAGACAACTTCAAACATCTAAGCTCTTTAATTAGAAATATATTCATAGTTTCTCGCGATCAGTTCTAGCTCGAAGTTTGCCCTTAGTAACTTGGCTTGTTCATGCGGCGGGGCTTTGGAAATAAAGTAACAAGGGAATTCATATACTAACCTTCGAATCTAGCTATAGAGACCTTTTTTTCATATAAATTTGCATTTCTTGTTATTTTTTAATTGCTTTTGTATGATTTCATAATTTTTTTTTTGGGAAAACTTTAAAAATCCCCGCGTAAGCTTCTTCAGAATCACTTACCCCTTTCCCGAAATTTTTATCTCCCTACTTAAAGTTTTTTTATTATTTACCCCTCTAATTTGATTTTCCATCCAAAATTATAGTTAACAGTGTTAATTTTTTTATAAGATACCAAAACTACCCTTTAATTAAAAAAAACATTGATGGTGTTTATGTGTTGAGTAAGATACCAAAACTACCCTTTAATTAAAAAAAACATTGATGGTGTTTACGTGTTGAGAGTTGTGGTCATATCCTCTCTTTGTCATCAGTTATGCCTCTGTTGCGCCAGTTGCAGATATCCACAGTCGTTGAGCTTCACACATACATCGGTTTAGCTTCTCCTTTTCTCTACACACACGAAATCATATTGGCATCGGATATATATCTTTTGGGCTATTTTTATTTATTTTTTATTTTTTAGTACTTGAAACTTGTTTGTTGAAGGCAAGTTTTAGTTGGAAGCTTTTTGAGATTTACTTCTTTTTGTGAAAGTCATATTGGGAAAGAATGGAAATGAAATTATGTGACTATGGATTCTGTGTATGTTAGGTTCATTTCTTAATTTGCTTTCGTTGTTCATTTGGTGCCATTAGTAACAAAAATAGTTTGCTAATGGTAATTTTGAAGAGCTCAATATCAAGTAATTAAATGTGTTGACGAATAGATTGATAAAAATTATTAACAACACAGAAATAGTTTGCTTTCGTTTATCATCAATATCAGCTTTGTAGATAATAAAAGAAAGCAATTAAAATAGATTGAAAAACAGAAGCGTAATTAACGACAAACAATACCAAACGTGTTGTTTGTTTTTTAATTAAATGATAATTTTGGTATCTTATAAAAAAGTTAACGATGATAACTATCATTTTGGATGGAAAATTAAGTTAGGGGTAAATGATAAAAAATTTAAGTAGAAAGGTAAATGATTGAAAAATTCGAGAAGAGGATAAATGATTCTGAAGAAATTTATAGAAAGATTTTTGAAATTTTCAATTTTTTTTAAAAAAAAGACAGGTCAATTGGAATGACCTAACTAGGGCCTATGTATTAATGTTTAAAACCAGAGAGAAGATTAAATGATTAATGATGGTGTTCTTATCATGGTAGATTCAGATTGGTAGGGTCATGGAGAAAAGTATTTATTTAAATAAAATTGAATAAATTGTGATATTCATATTGCTTTAACTACGAAAATATTTTCAGTATTATAAAAATGTCGAAGACTCACCCATATTATTTTTCTATCATTTTCTATTTTTATTTTTTAGTAGAGCAGTACATACTCATATATTTATTTCCCAGATTTTATATTTTTCTTATATTCTATAACATTATTCGTTACAGTGTACCCGATCACAGCATATCCTTTATACTGCTCCTTTTCCCGCCAAAAGTTGCCTCCTTATCTATAGTTTGGCGCCCAATTCTCAGACTCAGTATCTCGAGCACATTTTCCTCATCTCTGTGTAGCCATCTTCGCCTCGTTGAACCATGAATACCAAGGGCATCGATTTCGATACAGACAAAGGTGAACCTTCCCTTCCCTCTCTCTCTCTCTCTCTCTCTCTCTCTCTCTCTCTCTCTCTCTCTCTCTCTCCATGATCAATTCATATTTTTGTTTTTTTTTTTATTATTCCGTTAAATCCTTTCCTTTTTTCTCCAGTTCTGGCGAGGGAGTTCCTTTCCAACTTCGCAGATGCCAATGGCGAAGCCAGATACATGAACATCCTGGTGAGTTCTCCATTGTGATTCAACTTTTATTTCTATTACTCTCTTACGGAACAGCAAAGAACGTTGGCGGTTAGCCCTAATTCGTTTCTCTAATTTCCGTTTCAGCAAGACGTTGCAAACCACAAAACTCGAGCAATCCAGATCGATCTTCAGGACTTTGTTAATGTAAGATTTCTCTTCCTTTTTTCCCTCGATGAATTATTTATCGTTTTGTATCACGTTGATCTGGTACTCTATTGTACGTTTCTAATCACAACCAATGATTCTGTTATTTTTCTTTTTTCTTTTTCAGTATAAAGATCTAGACAAAGAATTTCTGAGGCGTGTGACTGAGAATACTCGAAGGTATATTGGGATTTTCGCTGATGCAATCGACGATCTCATGCCGGAGCCCACCGAGGCCTTCACCGATGATGACCACGACATATTGATGACTCAGAGATCTGACGAAGGACCAGAAGGTGCTGATGAGTCTGACCCGCTTCAGAAGATGCCTCCTGAAATCAAGCGCTACTAGTGAGATTCACTTCTTTGTTTTGCATTCAATTTGTTTTACTAGACCAATTTCTTAAGTTTGGTTTGGAAAGAAATTCATTATAGGCATGAGTATTGTGTAATGACAAAAATATCTGAGGGGGTATGGTGTTTATGCGTTAGCTTTTATATGATAGTCCTAGTCTTACCTCGTGGGTATTGCAGTGAAGTTTATATTAGAGCATCTTCAAAAGGGAGACCATTTACAATTAGGGAGGTGAAGGCTTCGTACATTGGTCAGCTTGTAAGGATATCTGGTATAGTTACGCGTTGCTCGGATGTCAAACCATTGATGCAGGTGGCTGTATACACATGTGAGGATTGTGGTTTTGAAATTTACCAGGTAATCGATGAAAGGACTGCTCAAAATGCTTAATTTAGATGTAAAAAAGATTCTATGGAAAAGAAACAAGAAACAAAAGAACTACTGCATGAGATTTGCTTGGCATGATTCATAAAAGTCCATCACAATTCATGAATTTTCTCTCTGCCATTATTATTTGACTGCCAGTATGTTAAACTACAATATTTGAAGTATTATAACTATCTATCATACTTTGTTAGATTTTTGTCGTGGAATCTTTCTTTTTTTCTTGTGGGATGTCTGGAGTGTTATGGAATTTACTGCCAATAGTCATTGTCATTGTTGCTTTCTTCCCTACTGAAACAGGAAGTAACAGCTCGAGTCTTTATGCCTTTGTTTGAGTGTCCATCGAGGCGCTGTAGCACGAATAGAAGTAAGGGGAACGTCATACTTCAACTGAGAGCATCAAAGTTTTTGAGATTTCAAGAGGTTTGTGCTATACTCCGGTTCAGTCTATACGTGCTTAAGTACTTTCTTTTTCATGTTGTTCTGTACATTTGCTTAAGAAACTTGCGATATGGTTAAATTGCAGGCAAAAATTCAAGAGTTAGCTGAACATGTTCCAAAAGGCCATATTCCACGAACAATGACTGTTCATTTCAGGGGAGAACTCACAAGAAAGGTTGGCTATTTCCTGCCAATCGGCATTAAACTAATAGTAACTACATTGGATGTTATCGAGTACCTGAAAATTGTGTTGAATACATAGTTGGGTTGCCTTTATTATCAACATGTCCTTACAAATAAATAAAGTTATTGCTAAAAATAGGTCACGGGTTCGAATATGGAAAACAGCTTTGTTGCTTATATGCAAGAGTAAGACTGCATATAAGGATTGTCCTTACCTCAACCTCGCTAGTCGGGATTTAATGTGGAGTGGTTTTTTATTGCTGAAAATACATGGACAGACTGATTATTATAGTGATTTTCTGTACCTATTTGAAGTTTAAATGGTTAATTTTCTTCTATTGTTTATTAACTCTTGCTTGTTGTAAATTGTCAGGTGGCTCCAGGTGATGTGGTTGAATTATCTGGGATTTTTCTTCCTATACCTTACACTGGTTATAGAGCAATGCGTGCCGGCCTAGTTGCTGACACTTACTTAGAGGCCATGTCTGTTACTCATTTCAAGAAAAAATATGAAGAGTAAGCTACTTTTCAGAATTTAAAATTGATAAAGACTGGCACCTTTTATTTACCCCGCTTCCTGTACAGTAGTTTGTCTTGTACGGGCTCTTCTATATGCTGCTTGGCTTTGTGTCCACTGGGATATTTTGACTTGCTTGCACAAAATGAAATCCATACCATACCTGATTGTTAATCTTATTGAAGTAGTTTGTGGGAACATAGCTGCTCTGTTGAGATATATAAAATCATTAATGTAGCCTCACCCAATAGCTTAAGCTTTTGGGTAGAATTGATTCTTTATATGATATCAGAGCTTCGGTGTAGCAGGTTCGATCCTTACCGCCCTCCACTTTTTTTCTAGTGGAATTTCTTTCTTCGCATAGATAGGTGGGTCTGTGCATTGTTCACCCTTCAAGCCCAGTGGGCTCTTGTGTGAGGGGGCGTGTTGAGATATATAAAATCATTAATGTAGCCTCATCCAACAACTTAAGCTTTTGGGTTGAATTGATTCTTTACACGCTCTCTAATCAATTAATTATGTCATAGATATGAACTTAGAGGAGATGAGGAAGAGCAGATTGCACGTTTAGCAGAAGATGGTGACATCTATAATAAGTTGGCACGATCACTGGCACCTGAAATTTTTGGACATGAAGATATTAAAAAGGCTCTGCTTCTTCTCCTTGTTGGTGCTCCCCATCGGAAGTTGAAAGATGGGATGAAGGTAATGAACTATGTTTGTATAAATTGAACCACACATGTTTAAATGGACCTTAAACTTTGCATAAAAATCATGTTTAATTAGTAGGGTTTAAGACATGTTGATATCAATTATTAAATTACAGCAATATTAGTGACTTGAGTAAAATTGAAGTATGAAATTGTGTTTTTTTCTCTCCCTCTTACTCCAATGCTATTGTGCTATTGGTCATACTTTCTGTTGTTAAGCTTATTTTGCATTTTGTTTGATTTGTAGTGTGTGATATATCGTATACATGATTAAACTTCTAAATATCATAGTCTTCGTTCAATTGCAGATTAGAGGAGATTTACATATATGTTTGATGGGTGATCCGGGAGTTGCCAAGAGTCAGCTTCTTAAACACATAATCAATGTAGCACCAAGGGCGGTGTACACCACTGGTAGAGGAAGTAGTGGAGTTGGTCTAACTGCTGCTGTTCAGAAAGATCCAGTAACAAATGAGATGGTTCTAGAAGGTGGAGCACTGGTAATGGAAGCTTCCTTTAGTGTAGCAATTCCTTCCATCCATATTGTGCTTATGTTATACTTAAGGTTGAAAAAACTAGAAAAATCTGGTAAAACACATGAAATGCTTTCAGTACTTGCAAATTTAAGATGGTAATTAAGTCATGCATTGAATCACTCCTTTAGTTCCTACGTCAATACAATCTATGTACTTTTAACTAGTTTCCAGTTGTAAGTAGAGATTATGACAGAACACACTGAATTTCAGGTGCTGGCAGATATGGGCATATGCGCCATTGATGAATTTGACAAGATGGATGAATCGGATCGTACAGCCATACATGAAGTTATGGAACAGCAGACTGTTAGCATTGCCAAGGCTGGGATCACTACATCGCTGAATGCAAGGACTGCTGTCCTTGCTGCAGCTAATCCAGCATGGTATTATTTCTTTTCACCTTTATAGTTGGCAGACACGGTCTTATAGACCTGCATGCTTGTTCTTCTAAAATCTAATTCCATCCATATTTTATTGTGAAGGGGAAGATATGATCTACGAAGAACTCCCGCTGAAAATATTAATCTTCCACCTGCCCTCCTATCAAGGTTTGATCTGCTGTGGTTAATTCTTGATCGAGCTGATATGGATAATGATCTTGAACTGGCTAGGCATGTTGTCTATGTCCACCAAAATAAAGAGTCTCCCGCTCTAGGATTCACTCCTCTTGAACCTTCTGTTCTCCGGTAAGGACAGAAGAATAGCTAACTGCTTTTTATTTTTTATTTTTAACAAGATTGGAGTTTACTGCATATATGTTGCTTCATTTGACTGAAGGGTTATTCTGACTGCTCATATAGTTTCACATATGGGCCTGTGTCATTGTTTTGCTGTTGCTAGTAAAAGATAACTAAAAAATTATGTTTTGCTTTTATCTAGTGCATATATATCATCCGCAAGAAGATGGTCTCCTAGTGTTCCAAGGGAACTGGAAGAGTATATTGCTAGTGCATACTCCGGCATTCGTCAAGAAGAAGCAAATTCTAAAATTCCGCATTCCTATACGACTGTCAGAACACTGCTCAGTATTCTCCGCATATCAGCTGTCAGTCCTTTTTTTCCCATTTATTTACCCGTTGATACTATTAAGTTTTTTTAGCGGGTCACAGAAATTAAGTTCAGATGAGGTGAAGGAGGTCAAAAATTAGGCATTTCGGGTTATATCTTTTATGGTTAATAATTTATGTGCTTACTTCACCAGTCCATCATATATCATTCAAAGTGCAGTATTTAAAATTAAAAATGATTTAGGTGTTGGTTAATATTTTTTGGCTTTAAAGAACTGTTATCTAATCAGTTAGAATGACTCTACCTTTTATTCCATTTGTAATTTCTTAACAGGCGCTAGCAAGGCTCCGTTTTTCCGGAACTGTTGCTCAGAGTGATGTGGACGAAGCACTGAGATTAATGCAGATGTCAAAATTCTCCTTGTACTCTGATGAGCGTCAAAGGTCTGGTCTGGATCCCATATCTGATATTTATTCCATACTGCGAGATGAAGCTGCTAGAAGTAACCGAATGGATGTCAGCTATGCTCATGCACTGAATTGGATATCTAGGAAGGTGAGTTCATACTGCTCAAAGTTGAAAACTGTCCATTATGTAGTATTGTAGAAAACGATTTCGACGTCAAATTTGAGAAGGGTTTAGACTAAGTTTGACTGCGGAACACGGGAATTTCAGCAGTAAAAAGATCATTAAACAATTAAAAGAATATTTTATTTCATTGAATGAAGAGCAGTAATCTGTGTAGTATTGGCGAATATATGAGTAACCGAATAAGATGATTGTCAGGAATTCTTTTTAGGCTAGCCTAGGTTGAGTAAATACCTTCCCAAAATTTTGCACCGCTTATTTCTTGATCCTGTCAGGAATTAATTACCGTCAATGCAATACCTCTATATAATATTCTGATCGCACAACTTCTGGCTTTCGAACAGGGGTGCAGCGAAGCCCAGTTGAAAGAGTGTTTAGAGGAGTATGCAGCATTAAATGTATGGCAGATACATCCCCACTCCTTCGATATACGATTTATTGATGCTTGATGGACTTCCCACCCACTACCCCCAATCAAAACATGATTTGCAGCAATCTGGTTTCAAAGTGGCTTAAGACTGTAGGGAAATCACATTTAGATCTGGATTTTCTTGTAGTTTGATTTCACCTGGCCGATGTAGGTTCTTTGTATTGTTTAGAATTGCATATTTAATTCTTTTTTTAGATGAAGTAATTGCGTATTTAATTTTTATATGCTACAGACAGGATTGCAAATTCGAAGCACAAATTGGGTTGATGAATCGTAAAATCTAGAAGGAGAACAAGCTCTGTATACATTATTTTAAGCCTTTGCAACATTTGAAATGCAAATTAGGGAAAAAGTTTATCTCGTAGGTTTCAAATTGCTAAAGGATATTGATTTTAATCGATTCTTCCATTAATATATAGAACTTCACGAATCCAGTTGTTTGTCCATGCGTAACAGAGTATTATATGTATAAAGTTAGAATTGTCATTGACTAGGTTGCCAAAACTGATCTTTTGATCGAAAGCCAGCAGAAGAAAAATTAAGGACTTTTTTTGAGATAAAAATTCTTATAAATTTTTAAAAACTATGTAGATTTGGAAGGAATTTAAAGATTTTTTAAAAAGATTTTTTTTACCATCAAGATTTAATAATATTGGATTTTAAAAGATATTAATAGAATTTATAAGATTTAAAAGAACAATATAGATTTATAAGATTTTAAAAAATCATATAAATTTTTAATAAATATTCAAATTACAAAAGTCAATCAATAAAATTACAAAGAAATGCAATGATATTAATAAAAAAAAGTAAAACTTAAAATAATTTTTTCAATCACTAAAATATAATATAATTTTTAACAGACATTCAAGATTATTAAACAACAGCTCTCTACATATCTAAAGTTATACTAGTCCTTCATATATTAGCATTTTCTCGTTCAAGCTCTTTGGTTTGATCAATAAGTTAAAAATTATCTTTTTTATTTGATATCAGAGCTATGTATATATGATTATAATATTCAATTTTTTTATTTATTAAAATAATTCTAAATTTGCATATGGAACCTAAAGTTCATAATAAATTTTAGTTTAAAATTTTTTGCAATTGATCTTGAAAACTTAGAAATTTTTATTCTACGTTATGAGAGTTTTCTAACCATATATTATAGGTATGTTTTCATTGAGTATTCTAAAAAAGATTTGAATTTGAATTTAGGTTTTTATTTTTTTTGTATGGAAATTTCTGAATTTTATTACATCAAAATTTAGAAAATTTCGATGAATGTAAACTTCATCCCCAACATCTTTGCTAAGTAAAAGCCTTTGCCCCAATATTTTAATTTAATAAATGAGAAAATAATTCACGATTAATGATTCCCAAATCATACTGTAAGCGATCGAGCAAGCCATAATAATATAAATATGTTGCCAATCAATCAGAGAAAAATAAAAAAAAATCGGATATTGGGAAACATCAAGTGCAGAAAGGAAAATACTCATGATGTATTTCAAAGTTAATAAATGCAGATAAAACGGTTCGAAGTAACAGGGAACCAACAATACAATTAAAGAAAATAACAAATGAAAGCTATTAAGTTGGGTAGTCTGCAGAAGGTAACAGGTTCTAATTGTATCCAATTCCTAATAACTATTACGTAAGCATGACGGTTGTAAGTTCTTAATAAATTGTTTAGTGGATGTCCAAAATGATTGCTTATATGTATGTAGATTGTTTGCTCGATCATTGGTTTCTAGCTGAATGCTTGAATTAATCGAGCTGCTTTCAATAGATCCACTAGATTCATATCCAAGAGCATGTTGTCTGTTGGGAAGTAGTCTACCCTGTCCCATGTTCGATCCATAGTATGGAGGATTCAATTGATATGGAAGACCACTTTGTGCCATGTTATACCCAGGATTGTAAGATCCATAATACGGAGGATTGAATTGATATGGAAGACCACTTTGTGCCATGTTATTATACCCAGGATTGTAAGGAAGATTGAATTGATGATAAGGGACATGAGGATATCTTGACTGATGATATGGATCAGGATATAGGAATTGGTATGGATCATCTATTGGAATATCATAATGAATCCATTGAATTGTAGCATGTTTGCCACCTCTCCTTATCCACTTCAAAATGTATGCTGGATTTGTATAATTACCTCTTACATAAATAAACCCACGGGATGGATCGATATTGCAACTCAGGTCTGGCAAAGAAAAAGAAAAATCATGAGAATCTGAGAAATCTTTTGAATAAATCACTACAAATGTCACCAAAGGTAAAGGTACAAGGAAAGAAATTGTAATATGATAAATTGAGTATTACAAAAACAAAATGAGGGTTATAAACAATTATAAATGCAGAATAAGTGTGTATAGAATTTTCAATAATGTAGTAAAAATTGAAAATTAAACTTTTCCTCCAAAGTGTATTTTAATGTTTATCTTATCCAAATGCAAAAATATGCAAGAGATATCCTTTTCTTCTTCTTCTATAACTTGCAGTAATAAACTGCAACGATTTAATAAAACATTGTTTTTAACTTTACAAAATCAAAGTTTGAAGAAAATGGCACAATGATGACTATATCAATTATAAAGGGGAATATGAAACTTCTAATAATTGTTAGTTCCAATATTTTTCAAGTATCTACTTTTATTTGAACACATTGACATACTATGATCACTAGTCTTGTACCCAAAAGATATATGTTTCTAATAACATGATTAGAATTAAATTTGTGAATTAGTTCAAATGGTTCTTTACACTAATAAAAACTAGTTGATACTCAATTTAGATATACAATTATACATTCTGCAGTATAAATTATACATGGTAGAGGCAAACTATTAAGAAAAACTAAAAAGGCCAACATTTTTGTTTTTCTATTTTGTTTTGATTGTTGGAAAATGTAAAGAACAATAATATATGATGCTAGTAGCAAATTAAAATTATCAGCATATGGTGAGCATCTTATCAGCAAGTAAATCAATAAACCATAAATTTAAAAATGTGGTACTCTTTTTTCATCAAAATTTTAAATTATCACGCAAAAGGTAAATGTGTATAAAACCTTTAAAGATCTTCAAAACTTTAGTGGCATGAATCATATGAATAAATAGATAGCACACTCTATGATGTGAGAAACTGTTTGATACACTCCTATCAAAGAGGTAATTGAAGGAATGCTAAAGCAGGATTTACGTACCTCTCCCATGTATTTTTGATGTCCTTTGCTTCAAAGTTGAAAAACTAGTTAGGCTAACACTCATGCCTCTACTCCTTATAAAGAGTATTTTGAAATATAAAAATTGAGAAATATATGTTATATTTGATTGATCGGGTTTTACAAATATTGATTCATATTAACATTGAATTTGATATTGATTACTATTTTTATATCATCTATAAATCAGTTAAGTATGTCAATTGAATAAATTAATTATGGTAATTTAATAGATATATACGTCAAATTAAAAATTGTATTTTTTGGGAAGGTTTATATTTATGGTAAGTTTAATTCTCACCGTTCTTTTTTCTTTCTAAATCTAATTATGTCATATACTTAATAGGATACATCGTAAAATTCTTTTTTAAAAAAATCTAATGAATATGATAATAATACAAATAGAATCAAATATAATAAATAAGATTATGAAAAAATAGAATAGATATAGAATTTTTTTAATATTCAATTTGGATATTTTTTTCATATTAATTTCTAAACATTTTACAAATGTTATTAATATTAACAGAAGAATATTCTTAATATTTATAGACATGCACTAATAGATTAATAGAAGAGGATGGTTATACTTACAATCTATTTTTGTTTACAATCTTTTACAACCATAATCTTAATCGTTGATTTCCGTCAATCAACGGTTATAATTTATTGCGAATTAATAATTAATTAATAAATTTAACTCACGCCAAAGAAAAAAAAGCGTGGACTCATCATATAGTGATATTCAATAATTTATTTAACTTTTGACTAGTTTCCTTTTATTTCTTTTAAGCAATTACTGAGACGTGTTGGGGTGAATTCTAGTGCAATCATGGAGCTTTGTAATTATTCTAATTTATGAACAAGAAAGAGGGTAGAGAAAGAAAGATAGAAACGTGTTTTCGTCATGAAGCATCAGAAGGAAAATTCACATCCACAAATGCTAAGTGAGCTGGCCTAGAATTGTTGGCCTTGGCCCCCTCTGAAGCACTGCTCTTTCTGT